TTTATAAATGGGTATTTTGTCATATCTTGCCCTGTCCGACGGAAAGGACACCTTTTAAGTGCGTTGAACTAAGATAGTTTCCCTTTTCTCCCTCTGTTATAACCTATCGTTTCCTGGCCTCAGAATGGAAATCAGTAACTTGATAAGTGGTTTGCAAAGTAATCTGGCTTCACTACAGTCACTGTAATTACTTTGATGTGCCCCGCTGAGATATAATTTGGGAACTTATTACATAGGCTTTTCTAGGGAGGTTGGCAGCTGTTAGTCCCATGGTTGTCCCAGGAGGCTATGCCAGAGCTAGCTGTTGATCTTACACATTGTGTTCTTCTTAATAAGGCATGAGACCTAGCTGGCCCAGGCTCTGCTATGAAGATTTTAATTGTTAAAAAGCATAAAGACTTTACATTCTGATGGGCAGTCCAACTACCAGTCCTACTTGTCTTTACTGTCATAACTAAAAGTTGCAGTTACCCTAGAGTTCATTTAGACTCAAAGGTACCCCATGTATGTCAGAGTAGATTAAACACCCTGCAGAAATCACGACAATAATAGCACCACTTTGTGTTCTTAGGGAAATCTGAAAATACGATATAATAGTTACGTAACTTTTTGATCATTATCATTGTTATCTCATTTGAGAACACCACCACAAGTTCTATAGGACCAGTGCTATTTCTATTTTATGGATGCTCAAATCAAACCAAACCCACGGCTGTCAAGTCAATTCGGACTCATGGTGATCCTGTAGGACGGAGTCGAACTACCCAATGGCTTCCATAGGCTGCCGCTCTCTATGGAACGCATGTCGCTCTTCACGGTCCTGGCAACAATTCAGTCTCCACATCAAGAGCCTGAATTGGGTCAGTATGCCTCTTCTCAGACTTCCATTCCAGGGTTTCAACCCCAGATTTTTCTTGTTGAGGTTATTGTTCTAGCATATCTGCATTTAAAAAACTTGGCTCTGTTCTGATTTTATTAGCTATGGCAAAAGCAGTTCAAAGTCTTGCTTTTTACCCTTCAGTAGACTCGGGGTTCCTGGGAGGTGTCTCCTTTTTTTTTTTAAATAGAGAATTCTTAGTCTTTCTGCTAACCAGGAAAAAGTTGAATGGTTTATGGAATATTTCTTAACCAATTGTGTTCCTCAAATAAGATGATGAGATTTAGCGAGCAAAAGCAATAACAATAAACTTTTAGTGTAAGTATGTACCAAAATGTTGTATTTGATCTCATCTGCCTTTCTTCTGACAATCCCACTCAAAAGATAAAGAAGAACAATAGACACTTGGGGTTCTTTGATTGCATTTAAAATCTTCAGGCTTCATTTCCAGGGAAGGCCATTTAGTATTTAATTATGATGATTTTTGTCATCTTAATGCTTATAAGTCAGTCCTAAGTTTCTGAGAATTAAATTGAAACAGAAAACTCTGATCTCTGTTATAGCATTTCAGTTCCAGCTTGTCTTCTAGAGCCTAATTAATTGAGTATTGAATTAGGAGGAGTCTAGCTAATTTGTCAAGAGACTTTTCATTTCTTTGTTGACTTGATGCACCTGAGTCCTTCAACACGCTGTTCTAAATTCACCTGAGGGGAGATCAAACTTACAGCACACAAATGGGAAAAATGAAACCGCCTGTCAGTGAGATTAAGATAGACAGAACCACATGCTGTTTACACGATTAAATGAAGTGTTTGTGACCATCACCATGGAAACAAGTAGTATGGAGGTGTGCAGAGGAGGGGAGATCAAAGGTTTCTCCAGATAGAAGGCTGACATATGGATTTTTAAAAAATCAGATGAAGCTGTTATGTCTAACAGAAGGTATGAAGGCTAATACATACCCAAGGAGGTGTCACATGCATGTACTATACCTTCTCAGTTGAAACCTGCATTTTTCTGGAAAGTTCTAGAGAAGTACACAAGGATCATGGAGAGTATCAGGAGAACTTGAAAGCCTGGTGTCTTATGTCAAGTGCAGTAGTCAACCTGACTCCGGCATACTCATCTGCACTTCAATGGGATCCACATGGAGGCCAGATTCTACTGCCTGATGTCCCTCCGTACTAGCATTATACAGTATTGGAACTTTAAACTTTGGGTTGACCTTAACTCAAATTTAGGGAAGCACCAGATCAACCAAACCACTTCCATGGAGTTGATTCCTACTCACAGTGATCCTGTAAGGTTTCTGAGGGTGTAAAGCCTGTAGGGAACAGACCAAAACCAAAGCCAAAAGCCAAACTCACTGCCCTGGAGTCAATGCTGACGCATCGTGACCCCCTGTGGGTTTCTGAGACTGTAACGTAGAAAGCCCAGTCTTTCTTCTGCTGATCTGCTGGTGGCTTCAAACTGCTGACCATGCAGATCACAGCCCACTGTGTAAGGGAACAGACGGTCCCATCTTTCTCCCTTAGAGGGGCTAGTGGCTTTGAACCATCTTTGCAATTAGCAGTCCAACCTTTCCGTAACAGAACAGCCATGGTGGATATTTATTAGCCCAGCAACATCTCTGCTGGGAAGTGAGTCAGTAAATCACTGTGGCCGTGAGATGGAGGGCTATGATTGGCCATCTCATAGCCATGATGATTCGTTGTCTCAACAAACATGCAGTGAGGACCTGGAGGGATTTATTTGTCCAAAAAAGGGGGTCAAATTCCCTGCCCCAGGCAGCGGCCGCTGTAGAAAAGAGCATGGCAGTTGGTCGTTCCTCAAAACGTTAAACATAGACTTACCACAACCCCTCAAATATCAAACCCATTTCTGTCAAGTTGATTCTGACTCATAATGACTCTACCATACAGGGTTTCTAAGGCTCCCAATCTCTCAAGTAGCAGGATGACCTCATATTTCTCCAGTCTTGCAATGACAGTCCAGTGCTTACCCAACAGGGCCACCAGGGAACCCTAGAATTACGATGTGACCCAGCAATTCTACTCCTGGGTCTATAAGGATGCCAAAGACTTAAGAGCAGGGACCCTAACAGATCCTTGCACATCAATGTCCATTCCAGAGCTATTCACAATAGCCAAAGTGTGCAAATAATTCAAGTGTCCATCATCAGAATAATGGACTGACAAAACACGGGTTATCCACATAATGGGATATTATTCTTCCATTAAGAGAAGTTCTGGCAAATGCTATGTCATGAATTAACCTTGAAAACGTTATTCCAAGTAAAAGGCATCAGAACAGAAGAATAAATATTTTATGAGTCCATTTTTATGAAATATCTAGATTAGGCCAATGCATAGAGACAGGAGATTCGTGGTTACAATGGGCTAGGGAGAGTGGAAGTAAACAGAAAATCTCTTCTGTGCCTGGAGGAGTGAATTCTAAAGAAGGGATACTAACAATGAAGACCATTCAATAAACAAATGTTCACTGAGCAGCTGAGTCAGACACTACTATAGACTGTGGGACTGTGGGAGTTAGATGATATTATGTCATTGTGAAGATGCATGGAAGTGTAGGGATGAAATCCCAACTCTCAATTAGGTTACCAAGTCTCACCATTCCACTTCTTTTTTTGTTTGTTTTTATTTTAAATCATTTTATTAGGGGCTCATACAACTCTTATCACAATCCATACATACATCACTTGTGTAAAGCACATTTGTACATTCATTGCCCTCATCATTCTCAAAACATTTGTTCTCCACCTAAGCCCCCGGCATCAGCTCCTCATTT